TATCATGTTTGGCATGGAGAAGTTTGACAACTATGTGTATGGGAGACATGTTCTTGTGGAATCAGACCACAAACCGCTAGAGACTATCATGAAAAAAAGTCTACTCGGTGCTCCTAAACGACTCCAAAGGATGATGCTACGCTTAGAGAGATACGACTTTGAGGTACTCAACAAGAAGGGTACACTGATGGTCTTGGCAGGTACACTGAGTCGAGCTTATCTGCCACAGAAATCTTAGCATCAAAGTCAGGATGATTAGAGAGTCATGTCCATCTATGAACGTTCTGAAATGGAAATTGATATTGAATCAATAAATATGGTTCAGTACATTCAAGTGTCATCAAATACATTTCATGAGATTGCCGTCGCATCATCAACAGAAAGAACCTTTGATCAACCATGATCAACCTAGGCGTCCATGGGAAAAAGGTTGGCACGGACTTGTTTGAGATCGAGAGAAAAGATTACCTCATCACAACAGATTATTATTCTGATTTCTTTGAAGTGGGTCGACTGTTCAACAAAATTGCTTCAACAGTCATCAAGTTGCTCAAATAACACTTCTCACCACATGGCATTCCAACTGAAGTTGTTTCAGACAATGGACCTCCATTTGGTTCCAAAGCCTTTGCTCAGTTCTCAAAGAACTATGACTTCAAGCACACGACTAGTTCTCCCCATTATCCTCAGTCGAATGGAAAAGCGGAAAACTCAAGAAAGCAGGTACAGATCCAAATCTTGCTCTTCTTGATTGGAGGGGGGCGGTCGGGTAGCCTAGTGGTTAAAGCGTTCGCTTGTCACGCCGAAGACCTGGGTTCGATTCTCGACATGGATACAATGTGTGAAGCCCATTTCGGGTGTCCCCCCGCTGTGATATTGCGGCGTAAAATCAAACTCACACTTGGAGGAACACTCCTTCTGAACAAATAGGAAGTTTGTTCAGTAGAACACATACTTTGATCAGTATGTCGTCCAAGCAGCTTGTGCCTAAAACTGCTAAGTCAGGATCCAAGAAACTTAGTCAGAGAAAGACAACATGTGAAGCCACTACCAGGTCTACAAACTGTTGATACAGTTGTTCTCAAGCCTTTTGGAGGAAGAAAGGAATGGACCACTGCTACGGTCAGAAACAAAGTTGGTATCAGATCATACCAAGTTGAAACAGAAGAAGGTGCACAGTACAGGCGACAGTACAGGTCCAAAATCACTTGACTTTCAACCATATGTTCATCATGATCAAATTGCACATCGTCCAACAGAACCAAAACATTCATCAGTTCCTGTACAACAGTCAAGACCTCAACAATCAAGATCTGAACAGTCAAGACCTCAACAATCAAGATCTGAACAGTCAAGACCTCAACAATCAAGATCTGAACAGTCAAGACCTCAGCAGTCACCACCTTAACAATCAAGATCTGAACAGTCAAGACCTCAACAATCAAGATCTGAACAGTCAAGACCTCAACAATCAAGATCTGAACAGTCAAGACCTCAACAATCAAGATCTGAACAGTCAAGACCTCAACAATCAAGATCTGAACAGTCAAGACCTTAACAATCAAGATCTGAACAGTCAAGACCTCAACAATCAAGATCTGAACAGTCAAGACCTCAACAATCAAGATCTGAACAGTCAAGACCTTAACAATCAAGATCTGAACAGTCAAGACCTCAACAATCAAGATCTGAACAGTCAAGACCTCAACAATCAAGATCTGAACAGTCAAGACCTTAACAATCAAGATCTGAACAGTCAAGACCTCAACAATCAAGATCTGAACAGTCAAGACCTCAACAGTCAAGACCTTAACAATCAAGATCTGAACAGTCAAGACCTCAACAATCAAGATCTGAACAGTCAAGACTTCAACAATCAAGATCTGAACAGTCAAGACCTCAACAATCAAGATCTGAACAGTCAAGACCTTAACAATCAAGATCTGAACAGTCAAGACCTCAACAATCAAGATCTGAACAGTCAAGACCTCAACAATCAAGATCTGAACTGTCAAGACCTCAACAGCCTACCTCAACAGAGTGCCAAGTCCAGACAAAGACTAGGAGGACAGTGATCCATGTGTTCAATTCACTTATTATAAGTTCATAGTTGAACATTGTTATTTGAGTTAGTGTTCAGTGACTCAGCATAATGCTTCATTGGAAAAGGCATCAGTGATATTGTGTTGACATTTTCAAGTTGGGATACGAACATTCTTTTATTTCAGGTATCAATATTTCAAAGATAAAAAGACTCTATATTTTGATAATTTGAATGATTTATTGATGATGTTTATTTCATGTTCAAATGATGTGTGTTGGCCCTATATCTCCCAACATTGATGATCGAATTCAAAGGTAACAGTTTTATCTTATAGAGGGGAGATGTAGCGGTATATCTAGAGTGCACAGAGTAGCCTCCCTTGTATGATTGTTGAGTAAACAGCGTCCAGTCAAGAAGCGTGTTTTTCTTTACTCTAAATAATCTAACCAGCAGTTAACAAACAAGAGATGTGTTACTCAAGCAATATCAACACAGGAAACTGTTTCTGATAAAAAGTCAGGCTGGTTCGGCCCTCGACTGCAAACTGAACAAGGGCATTGATAAAACCAAATTGGCCCATAAGCCACCACCTTCTGGCACAGGGCTCAAGGCAAAATTGACGATAGCACTTTTTACATTAATGCTCAGTATGAGAACACATGTGTTATCATATATGTGTCAGTATTCATGCTTTCCACACTCAGGGCATGACTCCAGTGCCCTCAACCACCAGACTCCCATCCTCCACCGACACAGGGGCGCAACCCACGGCAAACAGGTTTCCCCCCTCTGATGACCAGCAATGGGTTGCTGAGGAGACATTCCATTTTACCCCAAGTCCCCACGGGGCATGACATGATGACTATCTAGGAATATTTAAAATATAGTGTGCCCAGAGAAGTCTGCTTTAATGATACAGGGTTTACTCATCCTTGCAAATCTACTCCCATAAATGTTTCACTGAATATTTATTAGTATACCAGGTAACATTTCTCATTTCAGCATTAGGCTGAAAAAAATATTGGTTCTCCGGCAACAGCTTTTGAAAATATTGTGCGGGCAGGCAGCTTTTTTTGTGTGTGTTGTTGTTGTGTACAAACTAGTTACAATCCAAATCTATATGTCATAACAAGAATTAGGAGACTTTCAAGGGGATGGGGGAGTGTGTGTGTGTGTGTGTTCTTATACACAGGGTTGAAGAGGTCTGCTTTAATGATACAGGGTTTAATCATCCTTGCAAATCTACTCCCATAAATGTGTTTCACTGAATATTTACTAGTATACCAGGTAACTTTTCTCAGCATTAGGCTGAAAAAAAATAAATTGGTTCACCGGCAATAGCTCTGAGCACTTGAATCCGTACTGAAGTATGCAATTTAATCATGTAATTACACTGTCTGGTTGTAAAAAGAGTTCATAATATATCTGGACTTATGTTTGTAATCTGTTTTATCAATTTTATTTAACATTTCATTCAATATTGTTTCAATTCATTTCGGCGAAATCGTATGTGAAGTGATCGGAAGATGTTATTTACAGCAACCATGGTCATATTACCGCTATTGACGCCTTGAAACTTACTTTAGTGATAGAGAATAGATATATATATATATCATAAATGCCGTACAATGAATTGCTGAAAGTCATATTTGTTGTAGTTTGACAATTGTATGTCAACATAAAGTTTTCGCAATCGCGGGTGCGGGAGCATCGATGGTGATTGGTCAAATTCTACCATACGAAAAAATATCCAGCAATAGCGATCAGCTTTGACCAAATCACCGGTAGATTACAAGAAACAGCTGATTGCTACTTCCGGCTTAGTTTACAAGAAAAGACACAGGGTATCTTAATCTCTGCATAAAAAAACAATAACCTAATAGAACAGGAAATACAATTTAATGGGTAAATCATCATGTCTTGGATGTCTTATCTCAAACTTGTATTGACCAAGTTTAATTGTTATAATGTGTTCATTTCACTGAAGGGATACAATGTCTTTTTTTCTGTGGAAGACAAGCACGTTTTTTATTGCAAATGAAGTGATTTTGTACGCACCGGTGATGTGCTTCATTCGGAGTCGCTTTATGGACAGGGTATATAAATTAGCATCGATTTCCCGCTTATTTACGACACAAATACACATGTAATTGTAAATCTTAACTACTGTGTATTAAACATTGTCCCGCATACAGTACACAAATACCATTGAATTTGTAAATCATCATGTCTTGTGATTTTTTATCGCAAATTTCATGTTTTTATTGACCAAATTAGCAAACAGCAAAACAAGCACATAAACTCCTATTGCCGCCATGACCATAACACACGAGATGCGCAGTAAAGCAGTGCACATGAAAAGGGAAATAACTGCACATTATATTGGATTGCATTGTTTTTAAATATTGTAGTATTTCACTGAAGGGGTCGTGTGTTTGAGAATATTTCAGGATTTTTTTTTTTAAAATGGGAATAAAAACGAAATGTGTGGCTGATGATGCGGCAGTGCATTTTTTAGCCTTACAACACTCATATTTCACGTCAATGACACTGTAAGAGATCAAGGCACATGTAAAGAAACCCCATGCGTTCATGATTTTATAGTATAACAAATGCTTGTAGGAACAACTATCAATTCTAAAGCCTGAAATCAGGTCAGTATATTAAAAAGTTTGTCAAAACAACAAACGAGAAGAGCACAATATTGAATGTACAAGAGGATATGGGGAAGGTTCAGGGTACATCATCCTGGTGCAACTCTTATACTAGAGACACAGATATTAAATCAAAATTTTGAAAACTTGTTTGGTCCTTAAGTTTCATGACAATTATCCATGGTTTGAAATGGTAAAATGTGACCAGACAAGAGTTATCAATTAACCTTCTAATTCTAACCAATAAGTTCAAAGATAAAACTAATAGTTAATGTTTTCGATTTTTTATGCTTGATACTCACGGAGGTAACATCCTGAACAAAAGTTGATCAGTTTTTTTCTTCTCCTCTTCCAGCTGGGTTGTTCTCTCTGCTACAATTTCTTCCAAGTCATTGGAATATTTTTCCAGCATGTGAAACATGGTGTCAACAATGTTGGCCTTTCTGAAATTAAAGAGGCATTGGTAAGGGAGAGGCATTGGTAAGAGAGAGAATAGTAGAGGGTATTTAAAGATTAGGCTCTATTTTCTACTAAATTACCTGATCGGCCCATGACAATCAACTGGAGATAGGAAAGCTTGTTTATATAGAGGATTAACCACTGTGTTCGGTTGTTACCGAAAAATCTACACACGAGTGATTAATCTGTCACGATTAGAATGAGGCTTTGCCGAGTTCTAATTGTGGCAGATTAATCACGAGTGTGTAGATTTTTTGGTAACAACCGAACACAGTGGTTAATCCTTTTTCTCCCATAACAATACCCAATAAAAAGTCGAGCTCGTAGTTGAAGATTTCCAGTGTTTAGTAACAACTCGGGATTCCCCCCAGCCTGGTTTTAGAATATGCTCAGTAAGACAACTGCACCATAAACAGGTAAAAAGGATCTAGCGAAGACAATCCACTTGAGTTTTCCCGTGACAGGCAAGCCACTTGTTAGCATTCATGTTATGTTTTTTGTTAACTATTAAAAGCTGATGGGAGTAACGTTTTGAGAATAATGTGATGTGATTTGATATCTGTTAATTGTTTTGGATTACTCGGCCCATAACTTTATTTGCATTTGTCTCGCCGTGACTATCATTCTCAATGCGCAACACTAAATAGGCCCACCTTTTTAGTGTATGTAAATACGCTATTCGTTTATTTGTCCGCTAGAAACAAATGTAATAAACCCAATTGAGAGGAAATTAAATATTGTCTTAGTGAAATATTGTTAACGAAAAACAAGGGCCCAAGGAACTGTCAGCAGGATTGATCAGGCAAGATTCTATAAATAACATCTTCCCGAGGCAAGAGAGTTAACTGACTATAAAAGTCCTGTTTCCACCCTTGCCGAACTTGGCTGGAATTCCTGTGCTTAATCGTAGCGCCACCAGTGGTTATTACGAATTATGTCCCTTCTAAGCCTTTCCTATGGACCAATCAGATTCCTTCACTGGCATTTGTTTCAAACAAAACGGTGGCGCCCAAGTCAAGACGATCTGATCGATAATCAAGATCTATGTTGTGATAAAACAGGTCTAACATCGCGAAGTGCATCAAATCACGCGAGTACCTTTATTAAAAACATGAAAATGTTTGGAAAATATCTGTTGACAACGAGTTGGCGGTTCACATGCTTTGCAAATCTTGCAATTGACCGAAATCTGCGTGACAGTTTACAAACCGGATTCGATTTCATTGCACGATTTTGATTGGACTACGCATAGACTCGTTAGTCCAGCCAAATTCTAACTCCATAATACCAGCCTTGTTCGGCAAGGGTGGAAACTGGACTTTTATAGTCAGTTAACTCACTTGCCTCGGGAAGATGATAAATAACAACTCAGGCAACTGATCAGCTGATTACTGCTAGGTAAATCTTCTCAAGTCCATCAATGGATTGTAATATTTTTGAACGAATTTTCCTCTTTAAAACTAATTTTACAGTGAATAATTTAATTTGTAAAATGATGATTATTTCATGTCATCTTTTTTTTTTTTTTTGGCCCTGAACATGGTGAGCACATGTGTTTTTAGTATATAAAAAAATTAACTTATTCAGTGGACAATTTTTCTTTTGAATATAATATACTGAACAGCATTGAAAACGCACCAGCAATAAATCTTGAAATATTACATAAACAACTTGAGCAATGATCAATTTTAAGTAAAACAGACATAGACAGATTATTAAGAAAGACGACAAAGGAAACAGGAATACCACACAGTAATTACATTACGTCATCAGTGTGAGGAAGACACATAGGGTTAAAATGAAAAGTCAATATCTGGTATGTCCGCCATTGGCAGCAACACAGGCCATGCAACGTCTTTTCATTGATCGAATGGGGGCACGGAGGGCCCAGTCGTCTAAGGCGCCACGATTCGCTGTGCAGAGTTGCATCCCTTGCGCACGCCAGAAACCTGTGATTGTGGGTTCGAATCCCGGTTCGCCCCGATTATGTTTCTAGGTTTGTCAGCACCATACCCGTGCTCGTGGGTTTCACCGAAGTGGTAAACGTCTAAGATCTGCATCACTTCGGGCTTTCCTCCCACATTAAGCTGACACACCGTGATATAACTGGAATAATGCTAAAAGCTGCGTTAAACCCAACTCACTCACTCACTCACTCATTGATCGAATAAGTCTGCGAATAGTGTTCTGTGGGATAGCATTCCACTCTTGACATAGTGTATCTTCAAGTTCTCTCAGGTTCCGTACTTGCGGACGACGTGAGAGGCGTTGACCCAGGTAATCCCATAGATGTTCAATTGGCGTTAGGTGGGTGACTGGGCTGGCCATGGAAGCAGAGGGACATTATTGTTCTTTAGATACTGTGTTGAAACACGTGCTGTGTGCGCTCTTGCATTATCTTGCTGGAAGGTGTGCATAACCTGGTGCTGATGAAAGAATGGGATGACGAGATTTGCCAATATGTTATTCCTGTAGTAAAGGGCATTAACTCTTCCACATCAAACATGGAACTCTGTTCGATGGTTATGACTGATGCCGCCCCACACCATGACACTCCCTACCCCCTCCTCTTCGATCTGTCTGTACAACGCAGTCATTGTGGTAACGTTCTCCACGTCGACGCCACACTCGCAGTCGACCGTCAGCTTTCCATGCCACTGCCGCAATCTCCAATGACGATGCCTTTTGGCCCAACGCAGATGTTCATTTCGATGTCGATCAGTTAGTATGGGTCCAACATATGGACGTCGGGCACATAGCTGAGCGGAGACGCCGATGTACGGTGTCAGCACTGATCAACCCCGTCGGCCTTGTATGGTTGCTTCAGTCCTGGTAGCCAGAAGTGTACGATCACGAAGATGCCGACGAACAATATGGCAATCCTGACGTGGTGTAGTAACACGACGTTGACCCGGACATGGTCGATCTCTGGTGGTTCTTGTCTGCTGGTATCTGCTGTAGCCTGAGGACTGTTGAATGATGGCATTGAAACCGTTGTGCAACGACTCTACTTGACGTACCAACTTGAAGCATGCCCAAGGCACGTTCATGTTCCTCTGCTGTTAATCTTGGCATTTCTTGTGTAAGTACCCTTTACGTCTGCAGCAACAAGTGATGAGGCTTTTAAAAGTCCGTCTTTTATAGCCCTATTCTGCATGCTTCCCGTGAAACAAAACACGTTTTCCATGATGCGCACGCAATTTGTTGCGTTTTGGTGTTGTCGCTCACAAAAAATTTAGGAATGTGTTTTGACGAGCTGTTCTTCTTCATGCTTCGTCCAGAATGCCGTATATTACTGATTCACTTATATATTTTCATATGACATAAGCCCGGATAAAAATACATCCATTTTCATGGTGGTGTGTTTTCAATGCTGTTCAGTATATTTAACATCATAACACCAAAAATGTCACTAAATGAGTTATCTAATTTCCCCACATTTGTGAATGACAAGAAACAATGTGAATTTGAGAAGCACAATACTTTATTGTGTGTGAAACATAAATACATAGGATATATGTAAACAATAAAGTATCATTTCAATAGTTATTCAAATATTTGCATTTTAATACCCTTGTAATGTTACATTGTTATTTTACTGCAACAGTTACGTCCAAACTTTATTCTTTTCTTATTTCATCAGATTAGAAATTAAGACTTACTGATAATAGGTAATTTAAAATTAACATTTTCTTTTCATCTTCATGAAAACAAGACTCATAATAAATATATATTTTAGTGACCTGTTCACATATGATTTTTTTGTAAAAAGTATGAAAATTAAACTTAGACATTGCTAATGTTAAGAAATGAGGTTTATGGTAAAATGTTATAAGACGACCTCTTGTTGGTTATTTCATCATATTTCCATGGAAACAACAAAAATAAAAAAATTCTAAAAATCTCTAAATAGCAAAAGGCACTTCTACAGAGCCTGATTGTTAAGTGTACCAAGTTTTGGGAAGCTAGGTGATACGGTTTAGGAAATATGCTCCGGACAAGAGCACTACCGTCAAATTTCCTAAGTTAATAATATTTCAATGGAAACAACAAAAATTAAAAATTCTAAAAATCTCTAAATAGCAAAAGGCACCACTACTGAGCCTGATTGGTAAGTGTAACAAGTTTTGGGAAGCTAGGTTGTACGGTTTAGGAAATATGCTCCGGACAAGAGCACTACCCTCCAATTTCCTAAGTTCATCATATTTCCATTGAAACAACAAAAATAAAAAATTCTAAAAATCTCTAAATAGCAAAAGGCACTACTACTGAGCCTGATTGGTAAGTGTACCAAGTTTTGGAAAGCTAGGTTATACGGTTTAGGAAATATGCTCCGGACAAGAGCACTACCCTCCAATTTCCTAAGTTCATCATATTTCCATGGAAATGACAAAAATATAAAATTCTAAAAATCTCTAAATAGCAAAAGGCACTTCTACTGAGCCTGATTGGTAAGTGTACCAAGTATTGGGAAGCTAGGTTGTACGGTTTAGGAAATATGCTCCGGACAAGAGCACTACCCTCAAATTTCCTAAGTTCATCATATTTCCATCGAAACAACAAAAATAAAAAATTCTAAAAATCTCTAAATAGCAAAAGGCACTACTACTGAGCCTGATTGGTAAGTGTACCAAGTTTTGGGAAGCTAGGTTATACGGTTTAGGAAATATGCTCCGGACAAGAGCACTACCCTCCAATTTCCTAAGTTCATCATATTTCCATGGAAATGACAAAAATATAAAATTCTAAAAATCTCTAAATAGCAAAAGGCACTTCTACTGAGCCTGATTGGTAAGTGTACAAAGTTTTGGGAAGCTAGGTTGTACGGTTTAGGAAATATGCTCCGGACAAGAGCACTACCCTCAAATTTCCTAAGTTCATCATATTTCCATCGAAACAACAAAAATAAAAAATTCTAAAAATCTCTAAATAGCAAAAGGCACTACTACTGAGCCTGATTGGTAAGTGTACCAAGTTTTGGGAA